GCCTCCAACAGGATTCTCACACTGAGTAAAAAGCATTAACAGTCTACTCTTGGAAGAGGAAGAAGAGCAGAGCGAAAAATCCTCTATTTGGCACATACAAGCAAGGCCTGCTAAAAGTTGACAGTGGAGAAGGAATAATGAGGAAAACCCTCCAACATCCCAGGCCCAATACTAAGCACAACATATTAACAGCCCACAGCTAAGGAATTTCAAGTCTGTAGTGTACAGAAGGTAACTATAGCAACAACGAAACTAAAATCAGCTCCCTTAGTGATTAGATTGTTCAATATCCAACACTAACAGTCTGAAGAAGCAGAGAGGTGGCCATTTCTGGGGATAAATATTATTTACCTCAGTCTCTATTATTCTTCTATACACAATGTCCAGATTTCAATTAAAAAAAGACACACACACACACAAGCAAGAAAAACAAAATAAATTGTCAGTAAGAGCAGCAATGAACAGAACAGACCCAGAGATCGCAGAGATGATGGACTTTAAAACAATTATAAATTGTCTATTTAAAAAAAACTAAACCAGAACAAAACAAGTGCTGGTGAGAATGTAGAGAAATTGGAACCTTATACAATGGAATGGAATGTAACAGTCTCTGTGGGAAACAGTTTGGCACTTCCTCATAAAGTTAAACATGCTCATGCAAAAATCTGTACACTAATGTTCAGAATAGCATTACTGATAATAGCAAAAAAGTTGAAACAACTCAAAAGTTCTTTAATAAATGAATAAACAATATATGATATATCCAATATAATTCTGCCATAAAAAAAGGAATAGCCCAGCTGGCGTTACTCAGCGGTTGAGCACTGACCTATGAACCCGGAGGTGACAGTTTGATTCTGGGTCAGGGAACAGTAGGGGGTGTTCCCTGACCCAGTGTTCTCTATCCCCAGTAGGGGGTGTGCAGGAAGAAGCCAATTGATGATTTTCTCTCATGATTGATGTTTCTCTCTCTCTCTCCACCTCTCCCTTGCTCTCTGAAATCAATAAAAACATATTTTTTTAAAAAGGAATAAAGTCAAGGGAGGGGGAGGAATGGGGATATTTCTAATAGTGTCAACAATAAAGAAAAGAAAAAGGAATAAAGTACAGTTACATGCTACAACATGGGCTAAATTGGAAAATATTATGCTAAGTGAAAGAAGCCACATACAAAAGACCACATATTGAATGATTCCATTTATATAAAATGCCCAGAATAGGCAAATCTACAGAGATAGAAAGATTAATGGTTGCCAGGAGCAGGGAATGTGGAGTGAATGGAAAGGGGAAACTGGGAGTGACTGCTAATAGGTAAAGAAAAACTATGCAAGTGAATGGACAAAGGAGTAGCAGTTTTAAAGCACAGAAAGGAAAAAAAACACCTGTTAACACAAAGCTCTGCACCCAGCAAAAATATCTTAAAAAAAAAAAAAAAAAGATTAAAAAAGAACAATCATACAAGCAAAAGTTGAGAAGAATCACTGCCAGCAGATCTGCAAAACAAGAAATGTTAAAGATAGTTGTTCAGCCAGTGGGAGGGAATATTGGAAAGAGCACTGTAAATGGTAAACATGAGAGTAAATGTAAGACTTTTCTTCTTTTAAAAATTTCCTAGAGGATTACTTCCAAGGCAGACACGGAAGTGCAGGGAGGCCCGTGTGCTCATTTGGGGAATTTCTGGCCCAGCTGCACGCCTAGAGTGCATTCTGAAGAGGTCGGTTCTTCAGGGTCAGGTTCCACCAGTGCCTGGCCGCCCCTCAGCCCAGCACCAATACCCACCATGCCCAGGAAGCCTGGCATTAGCCTGTTGGGCAGCCTCATCTCCTCGCTGCCGGCCACGCCACAGTCCCTCAGGCCAGGATGAAAAAGCTCTCGGAGAGAGAAGTACCAGCTCAAGTACCTGAAGCTGAGCAAAGCTGCAAAGCCACCGTGTTTGAAAATGCTATTTGTGTGAAATTGCTCATCTTGAGGAAAAATTTCTTAAAGCAAAAGAACAAAGATGGTACTTGCTAAAGAAGCTCCTCCAGCTTCAGGCTCTAAAATTAGGAAACGTACAGACTGCAACTTCTATTTACCCGAGTTGTGGTGTGGCCAGCTCTGTGGGAACTCTACAGGGAGCTGGACTAATTTCTGGGCCTAGCACTGGGGCTGAGGAGCCATTTGGGAAGAAATCCAAGGAGAAAAAGGCAAAGGCAAAGAGAACAACAAACTGGAAGATCATCATTCACTGACCTGGCTTCTATAATGAGTGCCATCAACCTTGTAGGGTACTGCAGTTCTTGAATATATTCCAGCATTAAGTCCCCAGACCAAAAGTGTTTACATATCTGTCACATCAAGGATGGCGGTGTACAAGCTCAGTTTGAAATCGTTCCTGAAGATGATCCGCAGAATGGCATTGTCAGTTCATTTGCAAATGCCTGTCATGCAGAACTGCTCAAGGCCGTAAGTGCTATTATAAGGAAACTAATGTCTAACCTGCTTCCTCTACCTGGAGCTGCTTTTTTGGGTTTTCCAATCCAACCATCCACAACCTGATCCAGAGTTGTCCAGGAGCTGGAATGGGTGAAATTTGATGTGTGCAAACCTGGAGATGGGCAACTACCCCAAGGACTGCTGGAGAGTGATGCAGCTATAAACTTTGAAGCCTTTCAAAGACAGACCTTCCCCACCCCCAAGCCCAAGATGTTTTATTGATTTTAGAGAGAGAGGGAGAGGGAGAAACATCCATTGGCTGCCTCCTGCATGCCTCCTACTGGGGATCAAGCCCAAAACCCAGACATGTGCCCTGACTAGGAATCGAACCAGCGACCTCTCAGTGCATGGGACCACATTCAACCGAGCTACATTGACCAGGGCCAGAGACAGACCTCTAATGAAGATCATAATGACCCCATTCTACAAGGATCCTTGGCTCTCCCAGAGCTTCAACCTATAACCTTTGTGTCTTCTTGCCACCCATGTTCCTGACACATGACCCCTTGGTAGATAATCACCTATAGCACTTGAAGTCTCCATTGCTGTGTAGCCCAACGCAATCTTCGGATTGAACAAGAGGGGATCATCATTTTCATCATGATGATTAAAAAATATATATATATTTTTTAATTGATTTTAGAGAGAGAGGAAGGGGAAGGGATAGAGAGATAGGGACATCACTGAGAGAGAAACATCAATCGGCTGCCTCCTGCACGCCACACACCAGGGACCGAGCCCACAACCTGGGCTTGTGCCCTGGCTGGGAATTGAACCGGTAACCCCTCAGTTCATGGGTCAATGATGCTCAACCACTGAGCAACACCAGCCAGGCATGATGGCTTTATTTTACACTTACACTAAAACTTAGAATATATGGAAGGAGGCAGCAATTCAGAAGTGGAAACTATATTAAATTAACACAATTCTTAGTGGAGGTTCCCATGGTGACAGTTTTTTCTCCCTGAGAAAAACTTCACCTGCTTTATTTTTAGTAATAAATTTCTTTTGACAAAAAAAAATCCTTAAAAAATAATTGACTGTCTAAACCAAAAAATAGTGTAATATATAGAGGGGTTATTAAAAGTAAAATATATGACAGCAACAGTAAGAGGGTGGGAGGGAGGAAACAGAAAATGTTGCAAGGTTCTTATAAAATGGTATCATCTAGAAGTAAACCTAGAAGAACCACAAAAAGAAATAATTTTTTTAATCATCACCCGAGGATATGCTTTATTGATTTTAGAGAAGAAGGAAGAGAGAAAAACACCGATGTGAGAAACACCAATAGGTTGCCTCACTGGGGATGGAACCTGCAACCTAGGTATGTGCCCTGACTGGGAATAGAACCATGCCACAAGCTTTATCATATGAAAAGGTTGGTGGTTCATTTAGTTTAAACCCTAAGATCGTTCAAGGTGTTCCCAAACAGCAGTTTTAATCCAGTGTTGGATTAAATTCATGTGGATTAAATGATACAGATTAGAGACACCAGGTTGGTAAATTAGAGTTACAACACTGAATTGCCCAGCAAATCTGTGGGGAACCTGTTACCTTAGGAAAATCTTTAATTACAGCCCTAAGTACAGTCTTTGTTTATAGGATATAGGAAATCTAGGGTGGTTTAGTAGGATCCTCAGAAGGTCTTGTTTTGAAAGGGAAAGTTTTAATGGGCTTAGTTTATGTAACAGGAAAGTAAGGAAGTTCAGGTGGGGGGGGGGGTAGGAGGGTCCTAAGTTAGAGGAGGGGGCAAAGAGGGATATAGGGAAGGTGGAGCAGTCGGGTTAGAAAGGATCTTGGTCAACACAAAGGAGAGGCTTGTGGTGTTTTGTTTGTTTTTTTAACCCATATTTAGTTATTTGCTTTAGTCAATTTGGAAAAAGTATTTCTTAAGGAAGCAATCTAGAATCCTAAACACATTTAGAAGCCTCCACATACCAATTAAAATAACTATCCCATTTGGATTGTTTAATTTTGTAGCCACAGTCTTCTTAGTTCAGAGAAAAACAAGTTTGGGGACATCAAAGATTTTCCATAATGGCCACTGGAGTTCTAAGTCATCCTTCGTAAAAACTGGTCCATTTAATCAAAAACAAGCATGAGCGCCCTGGCAAGTGGGTTCAGTGGTTAGAGCATCAGTCTTCAGACCAAAGGGTTGCAGGTTCAATTCCAGGGAAAGGGCATATACCTGGGTTACAGGTCCAATCCCCAGCCCTGGTTGGGGTGCGTACAGGAGGCAACTAATCCCTTCTACTTTTTCTAAAAATCAATGGAAAAATATCCTCGGGTAAGGATTAACCAAAACAAAACAAAAAACACAAAGCATGAGAAAGGACAAGCATAATTTAATATAACTGGCCAGGGTTCCCCACAGAGGGGCACCCTTGGAACATTCAAATGAGTGGAATCCAATTATCACAAACAAAGAATTCTCACCAGAGGACAATTTGTCTCTATCCAGAACCTAAATAAAGTCAGAAGTCTTGCCCAGAAGAAGGGAGCTCAAGATCTGAGAACAGACTTACCAAACCAAAAATTATGGTGACTTGTAGAAGTAAAGAGCACGAAGTGCTTAAGTGTGGGTACCTCACTCAACTCCAGAGATTGTCATTCCTTGGTGGTCAGCTCCTTCAGATCCCACGTCTTACACAATGTAGTGTCAACCTAAAAAAAAGAGATAAACTGAAAAAAGCTCGAATAACCAGAAATTGAGTTTCTTCAGGAATAGCAGAGGAACTGCAATTCTGGACAAGCAAATAGTAGAGAACTACAGGCAAGGCTGTTGATGGTTTAGGTCCTGACACTGGATGGCTTTTATGGGCAAGAAGTGCAAAAGGGGAAAAGTTCAGTTAAAGGCCATGTAGTGAGTTCACTGGCTCAAAGATGGAGAGAGATAGCCCTGGCCAGGTAGCTCAGTTGATGAGACTACCATCCCCAGCACCAAGATTGCAGGTTTTATCTCTGGTCAGGGCACATACAAGAAGCAACCAATGAATACATAAAGAAGTGGAACAACAAATTGATGTTTCTCTCTCTCTCCCACCTCCCCTTCTCTCTCTCTAATCAATAAATTAGACATTTATAGGAAATCTACCTTTGTCTTTCTTTTTCTGAGAGAGCATGGGTGAAATTCTCCACTTCCTACCCTTCAGTTCCATTTTATTTATTTTTTTAATCCTCACCTGAGGATGTTTTTATTGATTTTAGAGAAAGAGGAACAGAGAGAGAGAGAGAGAGAAGTATCAATTGGTTGTCTCCTGTACACACCCCAACTGAAAACTGAACCCGCAACCTGGGTATGTGCCCTGACCAGGGGTACTGGATGACATTCCAACCAACGCAGCCACATTGGCCAGGGCCTTCAGTTCCATTTTAGATTAAAATCCTTTCACACTTTTATCCATAACAAGCCTGAGGAATGTGTGTGGGTAGCCAAGGGCAGATGTACAGCAGACACTTGGATACACTATTCTACAGCTCAGGGGGCAAAGTGTGGGACTGTGTCATCAGTCTATAGGAATTAGGCAGTAATTAAAAACTAGGAAAGTGGGTGAACCTCCTGAAGGGAAATTATACAGAATGATATAAAACAGCAGGTCAAGATTAAACCCTGGAATACCAGTGTTTAAGAAACGAGTAGAGGAACAATAAAAAACTATAAAGGAGACAAAAAATAGAAATAAAAAAAAAAACTGAAGGAAAACCAAAAAAGTAGCCAAACAACAGCTAATATTAACTGATTGTTAATATCTACATTCCAAATCAGTCTCTTCAAATGCACTGCTTCATTTAACCCTAAATAACCCTAAAAAAAATAGGGGTTTTATTTTATTACTGCTTTTTAAGATAAAGAAACTGAGGATTAGAAAAATAGGTATTTTGTGGTAGTTAAGAAAATGAGTATATAGCCAGACTGTTAGGGTTAAAATCCTGGCTTTACTAGCTATATATTTCAGCTTCCTATTCTTTAAGCAGGAGATAACAGTTCCAATCTCATAGGGTTGTTGTAACAAATAAATTAATTACATGTTAAATGCTCAGAATGATGCCTGGCACACACACAAACACACACACACACAAAAGGACAAACACCAGCATAGAGAATTTCAAAGAAACACACTAGTGTCATATAACAAACTTAAACTTATAGAATAAACTATTAGACGTGAAACCTAATATATATATATGTATATATATATATATATGTA